TTCATGTTTGCCTTGGTTAGGGTCCAGGTTTGACATCAATATGTCATGATAGGAAGAATGCATTGGTTGAACACTTTGCTCCTCAAGTATTGGGGTATTTTGCGGTTCTTAAGTATCCAACTAAGTTTTCCAAATCTTGCCCATGCTAGTCTTGCTCTTCTAGCAATTTCCGCACTTTGGTTCTCTTTGTCAAGTCTCAGGATTTGGCCTAGGTAGATATATTCCTGGATTTATTCTATCTCACTGCTGTTTATAGTTATATATCTGGGGTCTTCTGTATTTGTCATTATTTTTGTTTTTTTTTTTATATTCATTTTTAGGTCGACGTATTGGGAGCTGGCTGCTAGTTCCCCCAACATAATTTGCAGTTCCTCGAATGTGCTCGCTATAATCACTATGTCGTCAGCGAATCTGAGGTGGTTTAACTTGTTGCCATTAACGTTAATGCTATAAGGTTGACCAATTTGTAGTTTTGAAGACGTCTTCTAGGGCTAGGTTCTTCGTATATTTATCGTCCCTACTCGACGCAATGAGTACAAAAATTGATGGTAATTTATATGGGTAAATTGTTGGTACATAGTGGAATATTTTTATTCTCAGTACCGCTCTGAATGGCTTGTTTAAGCTTGGGTACACAGTTTATTTTAATTGCTATCGACGTATCTTCATCTTGCCTCACTAGAGGTCTCTAGTTGCATACTCTGGTAGTTATTTTCATGTAATTGCCAGAGTAATCGGTGCATTTTGATTTGGTTTGAGTCTTCTTACAAACTCCTTCTGATGACGGGTAGACCCAGAAACACGTGTCAGGGAGTGGTAAGAGACTCAAATTAAATCGAATCGCAACATTCTTCGTATAGGTTGAAAAGCTTTGGTGATATTACGTCTCCTTGTCTCACTCCTCTCTTAATAGGGATGGGATTTGTATTTTCGTCTAGTTGTACTATCATAGTTGCATTTTCATATATATTATGTATTAGTTGCCTATAATTCAAGTCTATTCTACAATTATTATTAGCTTGTTCTATGGCCCACATCTCGATACTATCAAACGCCTTTTTATAGCCGACGAAGGCAAGAAATACAGGCAGTTGGTATTCATTTGCCTTCTCTATTAATGTTCTCATTGTCAGCAGATGGTCTGATGTACTATATCGTTTGCGAAAGCCAGCCTGTTCAACCGGTTGGTAATTATCCATTTTGTAGGTTAACCGGTTATTAATAATTCTCATAAATAGTTTGTATACTTGACTGAGCAACGATATAGGCCTATAATTTTGTAAATCACATTTGTTCCCTTTTTTGTGTAAGAGTATTACTAGACTCTCGTTCCAGTCGTTAGGGATCTGGCTATTATGCAGACATCCAATCTCTAAGAGACAGAATAAGAAGTAAGGAAATACGAGCGAAATGTGGTATAGAGAAAATAAATGCGTGGACCAAAAGATAAAATATGAAATGGAATCAACACATCGAAAGAATGACAGAAAATAGAATAGTATGAATAGCAAGAGACAAATCGCCAAATAGAAGAGGATTATTGGGACGACCGAGGAAAAGATGGTCAGACAATGTCAATTGAGGCTTAAAACCGAAGTAAAACAGGCATTAAGCCTATTTATAAAGTAGGAAGAAGTAGAATGTTAGCAGGCACTAAAACTGTAATGCGTTTCTTGGGAGCTTTCCACCAACGCACTTTGCCTATTTAAATTTTAAAATTCTGTTTGGTGTCATTTTAGAAAACATCTCTCATCAACGTCTCATCAGCATTGAAAATATCGTGTCACGCATATCGTGCCTTCAGTCCAGACCACACGTTTTCTAGCCAATCATCCGTTTTTGTTCATCGTGCGAACCTCTCCACTGATTTGTCCATTGTTGATCTTGTGCTGCAGCTTCCACTGGTTCAGCCAACCCTCAGATGTCTTGAAATTCCCAATTCCAAGCTCAGTTGCAAAAAACTCAGCTTTGTCCTAACCACGGGCCCAGAAAGTGGAATATGGTTTATATGCTGCTGCTGGAACCACTGTAGCATAGCGCGATCTAAATCTTCGTACTTGTCTTTTAATTTGGTTACAATTTTTGCTTTAATATATTGTTAAGTCGTTTGTTTTATTTCTTAATAATAATAAAAATAATAATAATAACAATAACTACAGAACTAATATCGGAAGGACCGAAAACAGAATTGCACCCTGGGAAAACAAATTGCTGAGGAAAGTTGAATTATTGTGCCGGGATATTTGGCAAATTACGGAATATATCTGAGGAGTAAGAAGTCAAAAACTAATTAAAAGAGCTGAAGAAATTATTCTGAACACTTCAAGACACTCACAACATGATCCAGAAAACAACACAGCTCAACACTGCCTAGACATATTAAAATAAAAACTCTCCGTTTATTCAAGTCGCTTAAGGAGATACAAAGTTAGTAACAACCGTAAATGCGACAATATACTTTTTGAGAATTCAGAGAAGGCTTTCTATAGGAAACTAAATTCCACTGTAGAAAATGTAAATAAATCCTACCCAAGTCAAGAAGAAATTCATGAGTTTTGGGGAAATCAACTTTCGACGCCAGCTACTCATAACAACAATGCTGGATGGATTGAAGACACGGCGAACAATTGTCAACACTACAGGAATATTCCTTATGAACCTTTCACCACTGAAGAAGTCTTGAACATCATCAAAGAGCTTCATAACTGGAAATCTCCTGGACCAGACAGAGTTCAAAACTTCTGGTTAAAGAAGTTTTGGAGTGTTCATGAGCTATTAACAGTATTTATTAATAATATTATTTCTAATTCACAGGAAATACCATCATTTCTTACTCAGGGAACCACTTATCTAATACCGAAGGATCAAAAAAACACCCAAGATCCAGCCAAGTACCGCCCAATTACTTGTCTTCCAACTTTGTACAAATTGGTCACATCCTGTGTGGCCCGGCGTATCTACCAACACTGTGCTCTGAACAATATTATAGAGGCTCAACAGAAAGGATGCGCTAAGGGCTCCATGGGCTGCAAAGAACAACTTATTATGGACTCTGTCATCTCTAACCAGGCATACACCAAAAAAAGAAACCTTTTTACTGCCTTCATTGACTACAAAAAGGCTTTTGACTGAGTGCCGCATGAATGGCTTATAGATATATTGAAAATATATAAAGTCGATGATAATCTCGTGACCTTTTTGAAGCATATAATGACAAAGTAAAAGACTAAAATTCTCCTTCAAATACCTGGTGAAACCAATATCGAAACTGAAGATAGCGCTACTAACCGGGGCCTTTTCCAGGGGGACTCGTTGAGTCCACTTTGGTTCTGCCTAGCGATGAACCCACTATCTCAGTTGCTGAACTCCACTGACACAGGATTTAGCACCAAAAATAACAACACTGTTGTGGCGAAGCTTAATCATCTGTTATATATGGATGATTTAAAGTTAATGGCTTCCACTCGAAACCACCTAGATCAGATGCTAAAAACTGTAGAAACTTTCTCAAATGATATCAGTGTGCATTTTGGACTAGACAAGTGCCGTATACTAAATATAGTCAGAGGAAAGGTTCAGCCCGGATGTTTCGATATGCAAGATGGCCAAAACATCGAGGCAATGGGTGAAAATGATATTTACAAATATCTCGGAGTAAAACAGGCGCGAAAAATTGACCATAAACAGATGAAAACTGAACTAACTTCGGAGTTCGTGCGAAGAGTAAGACAACTAAATCGGTCATATCTTAATAGTAAAAATTTGTTTAAGGCATTAAATGCATACGCCTGTTCCGCGCTGAGCTACTCACTTGGTATTATAAAGTGGTCAAAAACGGATATAGAGAGCCTTTAGCGGAAAGTAAGAACACTTCTCACAAAGGCGCAAAAACATCATCCACGCAGTGTAGTAGAGAGAACAACATTGCTGCGGCATCAAGGAGAAGGAGGATGTATGGATATAGGTGAGCAATTAGATAAACAAATTGATAATTTAAGAACTTATTTTCAGGTACAGGCTGAGACATCTACTTTACATCGAGCAATTTGCGCAGTAGATGACACAACGCCGCTTAAACTGAGGGAACAAGAAATGCGCATAAACCATCTGACTAAGCAAGAAAAAATGCGCACCTGGATGAGTAAATCTCTGCATGGGTGACATCTCAATGAGATCAGCCAAGAATATGTCGACAATATATCGTCGAACTATTGGTTGATATCAGGAAAGATGTTTCCGGAGACTGAGGGTTTCCTACTTGCCATTCAGGATCAGGTAATTCCAACTAAAAATTACCTAAAATATATTGTCTATATTATTTGAAATAATGTCTGAAATATATAAGCCCAAAATGTCAAATGCTGATATGGATGCCAAGCCCAAGAAACCATCCAACATCTTACCGGTGGCTGCCAGGCATTTGTCGGTACCGATTATAAAGAACGCCATGACTTAGTAGGAAAAATTATCCACCAAGAACTAGCTGACAAACTGGGACTTCTTCAAATCGACCATCTTCCTTATTATCAATATGTCCCTGACATAATGCTTAAAAATGACAACTATCAGCTATACTGGAACCGTGGAACCGCATTGTGCTCACAGACCAACCAGTAGCCTATAATAGACCGGATCTCATACTAATGAATAAAATTACCAGACAAACAACACTTATTGATGTGGCGATACCTAACACTAAAAATTTGCGTGTTAAATACAACGAAAAGATCGCCAAGTATAGAGATCTGGAAATACAAATCAAGACACAATGGAGAATGGAAAGTATCCAGACAGTACCTATTGTTCTATCTACTACTGGTGTTATTCCCAAAAACCTCTTAGCGAACATAAAACAGCTGGGTCTAAATGAACATCTTTATAAGGCCATGCAGAAAGCTGTACTCCTCGCGACGTCCAGATGTGTACGAAAATTTCTGGGAGATACTCCAACAAACCAAGTCACCTAGGGCTCGATAACACAGAAAGAGTCCCACCAGAGCTCAATCCTTTTGATACCGTAGGTATCTGGGAAGAGTGAATTTTCCCCTTAGAGGGAGTGCGAGCCGTATGGCTAAATCTGGAAATAACAATAACCTTATTTTATTTAAAAAATATCATTTATATACTCTTTATAAAATGCAAGAATTCAAAATAAAATTAAAATTTAGACCTTAATAATTATTATAATTTATGAAACATATGTAATCAATTGTTTGTTGTTTGTTTGTTTATTTTATTATTCGTCTGTCATAATAAATATAAGAAATATAATGTAAGACCAATCAAATACACTGCTCAAAATGATCAAATCTTACTAAGTCGTATAAGTTTTTTTAGTAACCACCTGTACATATGGGATCTCCCAAATAACCGATTGAATAATGAACAATTCAGTGCGAAAAATGTGATTTTTTCGAATTTCTGCTTAACACTAGAAAGGTATCTATTTATTACTTAAATATGAACATATTCTCTTAAGAAATAGAAAATCCTTCAAAATAATGTCTTCTAAAATTTTTCTAATTAATTCTTTGCTCCAAAAACTACAGAAGTCAAAAATTTACCTGTTAAAGTTTGCTCGTTTTCGTAAATGAAAGCCATATCTGTTTCCACCGCAAATACATAATCATTAAAACCTGCTTTTTTTATGTCATTATTATATAACTGTCGCCTATTAGGTAACTTAAAATAAGGGGATAACATCCTATTTTGTCGGTATTTGCCCCATTTTGGATGTTTATGCAGCAACTCGAAAACTGGATCAGAAGGCATCTCTTCGAAAAAGATATGAAACATCTGTCCTCCTTCTTTCAGCATGGTGAAATTATTTTTAAAAACCAAACTAAAAAAAAATTATATAATGTAATTTTTTTGTAATATTTGAACAATAATTATAATTTAGAATTCAGGGCTCTATTGTGACCGATCAAAGTCCCCACAGCTTGGTAGTTGTTACCACTTAATTTCTATCCAATAAACGACATGACGCAACTACAGATTACGTGTCTGAAACTGTTTACCTCGAGCTTATCTTAAAATTGATTAAGGTATAGGTATGTATTTCCATGACTGACACTCTTTGAATCCACAATATTCGTCGGTTCCTTCTTTAACACCAAGATCCAAAGGCGGATAACATAGGGTAAATCGAGGGGAGACGGCGCAGAAGGTGAGATGGCACGGTACGCATAAAACAAGATGTATTGTAACGACAAACGTAGTTTCGCGGATAAGCCACTTTAAGATAACAGGAATATAGCGGAGATGCACTGTACTGAGTTTTGCATTTGGTTAGGAAACCATTTTGGGGTTCTATTACCCAGGACCTCCACATGAAGAGCATTTGGCCGATTGTTGTGCCTCTATAGCGCATCAGAGTGCTATAGTGGGGAAAGGGATGGTTTAGAGCATTGGAGCACGGTGGCCTTAAATTATAATTCTAACCTAAATCCTAGTTATTCAATGCGCCATCTCCCCTTATATAAATAGGATAGATGGCTCACGTATTGAGAGGAGAGATGGTGCACTTGCAGGGAGAGGATTACTTATATAATAATGGATTTTTTGTATAAAAATTCAGTAATGTTTTATTGTTTTATTCATAGAAATCTTTTATTTCAGAAATGCCTACAAAATACATAAGAAAGGGTAATTCCTGTCGAGGTCAATGGACTGAGCAACAATTAACATAGGCAGTTAACGCAGTAAATACTAAACAAATGGGAGTGAATAAAGCTGCACGTGAATATAATATTCCAGCTTCTACATAACGTAGAAGAATATCAAACAATGATTGTAAAAAGCGTACTTTGGGACCATCTTCAACACTGGGATTGGTAGAACGCAAAATTGTAATTCATATTAAGAAGCTGCAACAACGAGGCTTTGCTCCGACTAGAGAAGATGTACGTTCCAAGCCATTCAAGTTAGCTCAACGCATGGGAATCTCACATAAGTTTAACAAGAATACTGAAAAAGCTGGATATCCTTGGTTAACATTATTTTTTTCACGAAATCCAGATTTGTCCGTAAGAAAAGCCGAAGGGGTGTCTCTTTCTCGTTCTAATGGAATGTGCCGTAAAGATGTTGAACAATACTTCATACTTTTGGAGTCTATTCTCATTGAACTTGATCTATTTGATAAACCTGGCCATATTTATAACATGGATGAGATTGGACTACAGCTAAATAATAAACCAGGATATGTTTTAGCCATAAAGGGTTAAAAAAACGTAGCAGCCATTACATCTTGTGAGAAAGGCGAAACAATAACATTAAGAGCATTCTGCAATGCAGAAGGTACATATATACCTCCTGCATCTATTTTTAAGGAAAAAAATAAAAAGAAAGAGTTTGAAGACGGAATGCCTCCAGGGTCAGTGGTTTACATGTCTAAAAAATCGGCTTATATAAACAGTTCTATTTTCTTGGCCTTGTTACGAGACCAATTTACTCCACGAAAATTACAGAGCAATATTTTGCTGATTGTCAATGGTCATTCTTTGCATTGCAGCGATCCTGACATTCTTGAATATGATGAACAAAATGGCATAACCCTATTTTGCCTACCTAGCCACACGACACAGTTCTTGTAACCTCTTGACAGAGCGCTTTTTAAATCATTAAAATTAAATTACCAATTTGCTTGCAATTCGTTCAGAAAGAAAAATAACTCGGCTTCAATTTGGGAAATTACTGAAACTTGTTTGGGGAAAGTCTGCTATGGTTAGTAACGCAGTATCCGTTTTTGAATCAACTGGAATTGTACCTTTTTATTCTTCTTTAATTCCTGACGATGCCCCTTTTGTCGATGTAGGACAATGTACCGAAGGAAAAAGAAATTAACATTCACCTTTCAAGACCTGAATTACAACCTACAGCTGGTTATAGCAACTGAAGTGATTATCAACTTGACAAAAGGGGGTAACTAGATTTATTACAAAGTACAGAAACTACAAGCAAAAATCACTCTGAAGTTGATATGTCGATTAGAACTGTAACCTCTGAAATTACTCTAGGAAAATTGCTTGATGATATCTCACCTCTATTAAATAAACGTGGAGTAGCTGCAGTCAGAAAGAGAAGCAAACAGCTAGCAGAGATTCTTACTTCCAAATAAACCATTGCTAGAAAGAAAGAAAAGAGAGAAAAGAAAGAAAAGAAAGAAAAGAAAGAAAAGCAAGCTAAGGCTTTGAAAAAAGTGAAAGTTTTAAAAACAAATGAAAAGATTATTTCTAAAGGCAAAGAAAATAAAACCAAACAATACAAAATAAACACAAACAAAATCAAACTAGTTTCAGAATCTTCTGATAATGAGTCAATAACAATAAGTCTCAAAGATGATTAAGATATGGATGATGATTCCGATGCAGAATGTTGTGCAGAATGTTTAGAAATCGGTATATTCACAAACTTCCAAATCGGACGACTGGCTTCAATGTATGCATTGCAAGAAATGGTTTCACGAATCATGTAGCAAATACTTTAATTTCTGCGACCTTTGTGGCAAACTTATTTATTCTACAAGAAGTACCTAACCAGTTATGTAACATAAAAATGAGTTATATGTAACGTAAACATGAGTTATTTTAATTTTTTTTATAGTGCGCCATCTCACCTTCTTCATAGAGTCAACTTTCCTCCGTTATGTGGGTGAGATGGTTTTTTTTTTCATACTTGTATTTTTTAACATAAACAAATATATTTTAGTTTTATTTGTATTTCATAACTGAAATTAGTATCAATAAACTATAATCATTATATGAAGTTTTATTTTACTTCCAAATTTCAAAAACTTTTTCCTCGAATTACCTTATTCAGATGCACTAGTTTTAGTGTCCACGATTCCACACCATAAGGAAGGGTATAGAACACGTAACACCAAAGCATCCTTAATGATAGTTCTAATATTACCTCCTGAGGACGTAAAAACTTTTTAAGTTTAATGAATGCTGCACGTTTTATTTCAATGAATGAATCAATTTTAAATTCAAAGATATAACTCAAGCTTGGAGAAAATTAAAAAAAAAAGATTAGAGAAGCACTAACAGAAGCTCTAGGAAAATGCAGAGTCATACTAAACAAAAGAAACAACAGTAAGACACTATGGTTAAGAAAAGAAATAAACAAGAAATCAAAAAAACAGGTATTTTAATGCAACTATCAAAAAAAAAGAATATTTTTAAAGTCCCAGGCTTCCCATTCTTAAAATGGTCTTTGCAGATTATTTCATTTCATGTAAAATCTAGTAATTACCTAATTTTACCTCTACGTGACCTCTACGTCAACCAATCTCCCGTAGAAAGAGTGACGCACTAAAACTACCTCGGTACCATAATAAATGAAGATTGTACCAACAATCAGGAGATTAGAGTACGAATCGGAAAAGATAGATCCACCTTTAATCAAATGGGGGCCTTCTTTAAGAGTCACAACTTCTCTCTTGATACAAAAGTAAGAATGCTGCGATGCTACGTCTTCTCTGTCCTTTTTTATGGTGTTGAATCGTGGACCTTGAACGAAGATATGTGCAGAAAATTGGTGGAAGCATTTGAGATGTGTCTATATCGGAAACTACTTAAGATCCCGTGGGTGGACTGACCGAGTCACAAACGAGGAGGTCCTCAGAAGAATGAATAAGAATTATGTGAAACCATAGTTACCCCATTTTACCCTAAATCAATTTGGACTTATGAAATAATAACCATATTTTAAAATTTCGTGAACTTACCTTGGATTTGGTACCATGTGTAATGTAAACAAACTAAAAATATGATCAAAACGATCCTTGAAGTCCTCGGGAGGTTCATCACTAATATCGAAATTTCTAAATTGGCTTTTTGGTATCGAATAATTTTCTTTTACATGACTCAACATAGAAACTGACAAATCGGATGCAATATACTCTTTGTAATCCTTAGGAAGTATCGGCCTTATGGTATTTTCAGAGTTGCTGCCATCCCCAATGCCAAATTCTAATATTGATTCATTCTTCCTCCATTTTATTAGATGTCCGTATTTTTCGATTAACTTCTTAGACGTTACTTTCGATATGTTAATATTGGAATAAAGTTTCGGTAGTACCATTGCACCCATTTTAGTATTTTTTATTACCAGCTAGAAATAAATATATTTTAATAAAATGTCCTGGTAGTTAAACAATAATTGAAGGGCTTAATGTGAAACAATGACAATCCATATAAGTTCAAAAAGAGTATTTGCTATGCTAGGTTAAAATAATAGCGTAGATTATAAACCACCACATCGGTTTTATCAGGGTCTTGTATATTTTGCATTTGGTTTTTCTTGTGATGTTGTTAGATCTTAGATGTTTAATTAGTCCATTATATGTTTTATTAGCGATATGAGCAGAGAAACGAAAGAGGAGACCGTTTAATCGAATTTGCTATCACAAACAACTACTCTATCATGAATACTCGATTTAAACACCATGTACGTCGACTTTATACTTGGAAAAGTCCTGGAGATAGATTTAGAAATCAAATAGATTACGTCCTCACCAATATTCGCTTTAGATCGTCCATTCAAACAGTCAGATCATATCCAGGGGCGATATGCGGATCCGATCATACTCTCCTCGTAGCTAAAGTAATGCTTAAACTTAAAGCATCCAACAAACAAAGAGAGATAAAGAGGATAGAACTAAGAAAGAAAGAAGACCTTCTACAGGAAGTACAGAAAAGTATGCCCTCTATTCGTAACGGAACATCACAAGAAATATGGGAGACTGTTAAACATTGCGTAACAACACCAGTGGATCGCTCAAAGAAAAATAATCCGGTGAAACGGAAACACTGGATAACAGATGAAACTCTTAAAATAATAGAGAATAGAAGAAATCTTTGTAAAAGTGGTGTACATTGTGACAGGGAAAAAGCTAGTTTAAGAAACCTCAATAAAGAAATAAAACGAAGATGTAAGGCCGACAAAAAACAGTACTGTCAAAGTATATGCAAAGAAATTGAGAGACATGGTCAGAATAATCAGCCGAGAGATCTATTTAGAAAAATACGCTACCTGACAAGAGACTTCAGAGCCAGAACTTGGGCCATTGAAGATAACACTGGAACCCTGAGAACAAACAGAGAAGACATAGCAGAGACATGGAGATCGTATTGCAGGGACCTATATAAAGATGATCAACGCCAAGAGCTTGTTAGCCAAATCTCTGACGAGGTGGAAGAAGAACCTGATATACTCGAAAATTAAGTAAGACAGGCTATCAACAAGTTCAAATATAACAAAACACCAGGTCCAGATATGATAACAGCAGAAATGCTTAAAGCCACAGAAGAAACCGGCGTAAACTTACTTCATCTACTCTGCAACCAAATATGGCATTCCAAACAATGGCCTGAAGACTGGACAAAATCTACAATAACGACCATACATAAAAAAGGCAGCTTCCATAAATGCGACAATTATAGAACTACCTCTCTTATATCCCATGCCAGCAAGATAATGCTACATATAATCAATGAGAGACTGAAAACATTCCTTCAAAGAGAAATTCCACAAGAGCAAACTGGATTTACCAAAGGTAGAGGCACTCGAGAACACCTGCTGAATATAAGACAGATAATCGAGAAATCTAGGGAATTCAACATCCCACTATACATATGTTTTATAGATTACCGTAAAGCGTTCGACAGGGTCAAATGGAGACACTTATGGCGAATACTAAAAGAAGTAGGCGTACCACAACATCTAATTACGCTTTTAACCGAACTATATGAACACACTACTGGATCAGTTAAAGTACTTGACACACTTTCGAACGAATTTCATCCAGAACGGGGTGTCAGACAAGGATGTATACTATCTCCACAATTATTCAACATATATGGGAAGTATATTATGCATAGAGCACTTGAAGGATGGGAAAAGGGCATCTCAATAAATGGTCATAAACTAAACAACCTACGTTTCGCAGATGACACAGCCCTTCTTGCAAATAGTCAAGCAGAGCTGATAGAACTTATACGACTTATCGAAAACGAAAGTCAAATATTTGGTCTGCAATTAAACATATCAAAGACAAAGATCATGTTAGTGGATAGACTACACAACAATCATCCACACATAACCACAATTGACCGGCGCAAGGTTGTGAGCTCATACTTATATCTGGGATCATTAATCACAAACACAGGGTCATTACAAGATGAGATTAAACGTAGATGTGATCTAGCAAAAGTTGCCACAGCAAAAATGACCAAAATATGGAAGGACTGTCAAATTTCAAAAACGATAAAGATGAGGTTAATCAATTGTTTAATATACCCAATACTGACCTACGGATGTGAATCTTGGACTCTGAGACAATCGGAGAGAAGAAAGATAGACGCACTTGAAATTTTCTGTTGGAGACGAACGAAAGACTTATAATACAAGGAAAGGTAGAAGGCCGAAGATCACGAGGAAGATCCCCAACAAGACGGATAGATCAAATTACAGGAATATGCCAAAGATCTATGCATGAATTAAAAGAAATGACCAGAGACAGAGATCTCTGGAGACGGACAATACACGACATCACGTCGACCACTACACTCACCCTGGGGGGTCAGGATTGAAGAGAGAGAGCGATATGTATTCTTCTCTTAACTTTTTCACTGATGTTGTTATCTGCGGTAACTAGTGAACCTAGATATGTAAAACTTTTTACGCTTTCGATGTTTATAGTCTCGTATTGTCAGATTCTGTAGGTTTCTTTGACCTGTCGATTTACTGGCCTTCATGTATTTGGTTTTTATTTCGTTATTGTTTAGGCTACTGTTTTGTGCCGCTCGTTCTATCGCATTAAATGCTTCTATCATCTCTCTTTCTCTTCTAGCTGTAATATCAACATCATCTGCAAAGGACAATATTTGTACACTTTTTGTTATTATTGTTCCTCTGGTGTTGACTTTTGACTCCCTAATTATTTTCTCTAATGTGATGTTGAATATAATACAGGATAGGGCGTCTCCCTGTCGTAGGCTTGTTCTCACATGGATTGTATCTGTTAGTTCGTTTTGAATTTGAATTTTGCTTTGTACTTTAAGTGTTTCTTTTACTATATCAATGAGTTGAGTTGGTATATTAAACTCTTTCAGTGCATGGATCAGAAACTCTCGATAGATGTCAAGTCAATGAAAAGATAATGTGTGTCTATATTAAATTCCCTAGTCTTTCCCAAGATTTGCCCCAAGACGAAGATCTGATCTATTGTGGACTTCTGTCTGCGGAAACCACATTTATATCCCCCAACTATTTGTTCCGCATATGGTTTCAATCGGTCATACATAATATTTGACAGTATTTTATATGTCATCGATATATTGTGTATAAACTTTTGATTTCAAAAGTTAAAATATATTGCAGCCTGAAATACCATGGTTCGAAATCATTTAATGTAAACTTTGTCAGACTGGAAACAATTACAATGATTATAAAATTAAATTAAACTAATTTAAAACACACCAAATAAAATAATTTTGTAGCATTAAGTTTTTCCACTTTAAGAATTTAACAGTGTACTATCCAAAGTAGGTGACTATAACAGCGTAATCAGCTGGTCGAGTGGAAGATCCTGTTGAGCTTTTCCGAATTCCCCAGTCTACTTGCCCAATCCATCACTATATTCTGCAGTGTTTTAGCATAATGCTTTGCTTCTCTATTTATAGACGTTGATATTTTATATTCAAAATTTTAGTCAGTGATCATTTACCAGATATGCTACGTAATAATAAAAGCTAAATGAATAAAGTACATTTATTCCCTGTATAAGAAACTGCATGATCATAATAAAAATCAGTGAGAATGCTAAAAAAATATACATTTAAGTTTTTATTGTTCTCCATATCATTTTATTTCTTTTTAAATTTCGTATTTAGATTCAAGATATATTTCACCTTATCTTGCCTTTTGTAGTTTTTAATTGATTAAATTAAGAAATTATTGTGAGTTAAGTTAAGAAATAAAATGCCAAATCTAAAATTCAAAATCAATAGTAAATCCAATAGAACAGAAATATCTTAATATCATGAACCCACAGCCTCCTAAATTATACTCTTTCATTAAACTACACAAACCGGATCACCAATAAGACCTGCAGTTTCTTTTTATACAGCTCCATCATATAAACTTTCAAAAAAACGGTTAGAGATTATTTTAGAACACACTAAATTTTCGCCTAAATTTACCATAAAAAATACAATAGAACTAGTTAATAAAATACAACATTTTCAATTACCTAACAACTCCAGATTAATTTCATTTGACGTAAAAAATCTTTGTCCTAGTATCCCCCCTACAGAAACTTTTATTCTAGTAAAAAACCTTCTAGATCAAAATAGTACAAATCCAATAATTACATCTGAAATTTTACATCTTCTTGAAGTTTGCATAAACCAGGACTACTTTGAATTTAATGATCAAATATATACAAATAACAGTGCAGGACTTATAATGGGCAATCGTCTAAGCCCATTACTATCAGATATTTTTATGGACCATCTAGAGACAAAGATTTCAAAACATCCCGTATTCAAACAATTTTTATATTGGTGGAGATACGTGGACGACGTACTGGTATGTTTCACGAGAACTAACAGGCAACTCGACCAATTTTTATCGTATATTAATTACTCACTTCATAGTCATATTGAATTTACAATAGAAACAGAACAAAATCAATCCATAAATTTTTTAGATATAAAAATTATCAGACTTAGAAACAAACATGACTTCTCCAAATTTCATAAACCTACACATACTGACACGACTATACACAATTCATCATCCCATTCAACACAACATAAACTGGCAGCTTATCATAGTATGTTACATAGATTAACAGAAATTCCGATGTCAAAATACAACTTTGTGACAGAATTAAATATAATTAAGCAAATAGCAGTAAACGACGGATACAACAAACAAACAATTAATAAAATGTTAAATCAAAAACTACACAAGAAAGCCCTGAAATTAGTATTTCCATCACTAGAGAAAAAACCCAGTACCTTCTACTCAATTACATATACAGGCAAAATAACAACAAAAATAGCCAAACACATAAAAAAGAAAGGAATAACAGCTTTCCGAACAACCTAGGCAAATATATTAAAAATAACAAGAGCCAAAATAAAAAACACTTAAAAAGTGGTGTGTACAAACTTGAATGTGGCGACTGCCCAAAAATTTACATCGGTCAAACTGGTAGAAACTTTAATAAACGAATAGCAGAACATAAAAGGGCTTTCAATAATAGAAATACAGATTCGGCATACGCACTTCACCTTCTAGATCATAATCATTCTTTTAATGACAAATTTAAAATTCGTCACATTCAAAATAAAGGCCTTAAGCTATCTTTGTTAGAATCTATGGAAATCAACAAATTAAAAAATACAGATATAATTCTGAATGACCAACTTGAGACAAACAGTTCTCCCCTCCTCAACCTATTTCATTACAGACTATAAATTCTAAACGCATGCCAAAAATAGATCACTTGAGAAAGGCAATCAGCCGAAACAGCTGTAGTGATAATAGTTAAAATAAATTTTGTGGAAGTTTGAAAACAAAGTTTTCAGTGTTTTATTGTTACATAAAATGAATTTCCATCAAGTAACGCTCAAATCCATTAATTAAAATAAAATGTGTATCCTGCAATGATTTTCGGACCATCAGCTTAATGGGCCACATTTTAACGTTATTTCTAAAAATTATATCAAAAGATGTACCTCGGAAAGCTTTTTTGGATGGTGCTAGAAAGGTCACCAATGGAGACACTGCAGACGCAGCCAGATGGTTGGTGGAGAGCGAGTCGTGGGTTTGAAACTAGCTTTTGGAACCGGGAAAGGGTCCAACGGACGAAATAAGTAAAGATAGAACAAGATAAGATATAATAAGAAATACGGAGAAATATAGTGCGATATTTTAAACAATTTAGGAGGGTAATATTACAAAAGAAACAGGCTTTAAAGCCTACATACAATAAGGAAGAAGAAGAAGATTTTTTTGGGCTTTCGAAAATTTTGTGTTCTATGACTAGGCTATAAGTTCGACACAAATCAAATAAAATAGATAAACTAACATTATATTAAAATCGAAAAAAAAAAAAGAATAAATGTAACAAACAACAATTGACTAAGAATATGACAAAGAAAAAAATAACATAAAAATTCAACTGTGTTCAAATTCCAATAAAAACCCTTTATTTAATAATTTGTAATGTATTAATTCAAAATGACGTTTAGAATTGTTATTTACCTATTTCTCTACCTTAATTTTTCTACGCTAATTAATTATTAAAAATATTTACTTACCCAAAATCTGCCAGATATTATCTTTTAAGATTCAAATCTATCGAGCAATACGCATTAGATTGCTTACGTAAACTTTTTATCTGCGCCAAGCGAATAATTATTGAATTTGTATCTATTTATAGTTTTCAAACCTGTTCGATAAAACCATGCAGATAGAATATTTTTACAAAGAAAGCAAATTATCCTAACTTATAAAATTACTTTTTATTCTGTGAGCTCTTGACTTTTTAAAATCGAAGAAAAAAGTTGTGCTCCGTAGAAAAATAAGCAAGTATATTGACTGAGTTTTAATATAAATATGTCAATTGCACCACCTTAATACAGACCAAATTTATACACAGATAAAATTAAATATTTGTTTTTTATTTTATTATTTAATTTTTGTCAGAGAATGTAAAAATATGTTGGAAATTTTTTCTCGAAAATTATAGGCCATAAAGTGCCGTTGAAACACATACACAATCTATGCACTAGCCCGCATGCACTTGACTGTTTACTATAATAAAATGTTATAGATACAAACACGTAATTTGTTTAACCTTTGTAATTTAAGTAATATATTTTTATAGTCGAGGAAATAAAGCACTGCGCTATTGATTCTCTGTAATAAATACGCCTTTTAACAATTTTTGTAATTTGCAAAACAAACTGAATTTGTGCATATATTTTAGAAGTACATTTTTAAATATTCAAAATTAAAAAAATCATCACTTGACGAATATTGACAAAATGTGTCCAATTTTGTTACTCGGGTGTTCCCGGGTGAGGTCGCTGAACACGAATATGACATGATACTTTCAAGTGGTAAGTATGTTATCAACACCTTCCTCTTGAGATTTTTAAAAATTCGTTGTAACAATCAATTAATTAGTTTATAACGTTCTACGCCGGCTTCTGATATCCAGCCTTCATTTATCTCGGTCGTTTCAAAGATTTTTTTCAACTTCTCTCTCCCTTAAGCCTTTATTGATTCCTTCTCTTCAACTTAATCTCGATCTACCTTGCTTTCTTCTTCCATGCGGTGTCCAGTTCAATACTTGCTTTGGTATTCTGTGTTCATCCATTCTTTGGACGTGTCCATACCGTCTTAGTTGATTTATTCTGATGTCCTATGTTATATTGTGCTTAACACCCATAATTTCTCGTATTCTTTCGTTTTTAACTCTGTATAACCTTCATTTTCCAGCTGCTTTTCTCCAGAAGTCCATTTCTGTTGCTTTTAATGCTTTAAGTTTTTTCCTTTCAGTGGCCACATGTAATAATGCTTTTTATAATTCTGTTATAAACGGAGATTGTACAGTACAGTAGAGTACCGTACAGATTGTGCAGATTGAGATGCACAGTACACTGTTTAATTGCCTAATTGCTTGTCTTCCCTTGTTAATTATATGTTTAATTTCTTCGTCTAATTTGCCATCGTTGGTTATTTGCATACCTAAATATTTCTATTGTTGACAGTGATTTATTTCTCACTGTATATATATATATATATATATATATATATATATATATATATATATATATATATATATATATTGTTATGATATGTAAAATCGAGAAAGATATTGGTTTGTCTAAAATATTTCAAGATATAAAAACATTAAAATAATTCAGATAATTAGGATAATACCCAACAAACATTTCGAAGAAGGAAAATATTTAAATTTTTGGATTACCTGTATTAAACAAAATGTAAGCTAAGCATAAATTATTTCCTTTGTTATACTATACTTGAGTGACCCGCATAATTTTAAGTGAAATCCAAAGACAATTGAACCGGGTTTTTCCAAATACATTAACTCAGCGATTATAGACAATAGAAGAGATTTGGAAAGATGTTTTTGTTAGTTTTTAAGAATTATAGAAAAATATTATTTGTAAATAAGTTTTAGGAAATTTTATAATTATAGGTAAAAATTTGTTTGTTATCGGAATGAAAGAATGTGGAATTGTGACGAGTTTTGATTGGCGGAGATTAAAAAAGGTGGGATAGGTATGTAGGAATGAAAGTTTAGCTAGAATTTTGAGGGAGAAAAGATAGTCAGTTGGTTTCCAAGGGTGCAAGGCGAACGGCCGTTGTTCTCGGGTAGTTTCCCAGAGGTAGGAAGCAGTAGCAGTGAAAGTTTGTGAGTTTTCGTGTAGTTGGTGTATCTGACAGAAGCTGATCCAGTAAAATATTGTAAGTCATATTGTTCTACTTATATTCCAAGAGTCCCTGTTCAGGCCAACGAGAGATTCAGTTTATCGTAAAGAAAAGATATTCCAAGAGTCATTTTTCACTCAGGCCAACGAGAGATTCAGTTTATTGAGAGAAGAAGAAGCTAGCATAATTTGAACGATTCGTGCATTTGAAGGAGATCATTAAGGACGATATACTTGCAATAATTTGGTGTAAGATTGCTGATTACCTAGGGAGCGGCCACGAGTAAATAATATAGTCTACAAATAACAAGGATTTGGACCACTCATCATCAGAGAGAGATAGTTTTGTTTTCTGCAGTTTTTCTTTCATTCATAAAACAATTTTTACACTTAATTTAGAAAGGATATAAATATTTTGATTAGGAGATTTAGAGTAATACTTGGATTTTGAGAGATTTTGTTCATCGAAAACATTTGAGTGTGAATATTATTTCATTATTTTATTTCAATATATAGTGTTATATCATATGTGTTTTTTATTATTCCGGTATTCTTTGGACCTTACCTTTCACATGTAATAGCATAGATATTGAAGCACGAATTTAACCCTGAGATAAGAGAATTAAAAAGTGTGATAGAGTCATAATCATATCATTTAAATAATTTTAATTAATCAATTAATTAATTAGCTAATTAATTGCTTGGCGCACCAAGACTTGAAATATCACAATAACTGGCTTCCAAAACGTGGGGCTTGAAAATATCGCAGCTTTACATTTGAAGGAAGGGAAAGAGATCTGGAATAAGTACAGGTGATCCAGAGATAAAAACATATAACATTGAGGGAATTTGAATTTGAAAGTATTTTGACAATTTTTTCCAGTGGATATAAATTTGATTTATTGATTGATCGTAGTTAGTTGATATTTACTGCTATTGAATTATTTGATTTTATTTTACCAATCGTACATTTGATATTTATTTTGAATTATTTGAATTTTACTGATTGCATATTTGATATTTGTCGTGAAAATTTATTACAATTGGGGAGAAATATTGTCGTGTTCTGCAACATATAGAGTGTTGTAAAATTTCACATTTGGCGGGGACAAAAACAGTAACGAAAAGAAACAACATGTCGACCACAAGGAGTCAAAGCAAAATGCAAGAAAGAAAGGAGGATAACAGAGAAGAGGAAACAATATTTGAATAAGGATCGGATAATGAAGGAAATGTTACAATAATAGAGGAAAGAAAAGAAACAGGGATGTTAGAAAAATTATTAGCAATGATGCAAATACAGACACAACAAATACAAGAAACATCACTAAAAATGGATAGAAATAACAGGAATATAGAGCAGCGTTTGGAAAACTATGAACAGAAATTAGAAGAAAATGGTAGAAAAATGGAAAAGCGTTTGGACAAATATGAAAATGATGTAAAAGTCTGTTTAGAAAAAGTTAGAGAAGAAACAGGGAAGAAACTAGAGATGCAGAGAGAAGAAATAGAAACTAAAATGAAAGAGATTAAGACTGTCCAGAAAAAGGAATTAGAACAGTTAGAAGAAAAATTTGAAGTGGCGTTACAAGAAGACAGGAACAAGACAATTGAACTGAGAGGAATAGAAAGAAAAGAAGTTATCGTCCATGGAACAAGCGAGGTGAAAATACAATTTGGCGGGAATATTAGAAAAACACACCAGTACCGTTTGTTAAAAATTTGAAAACCAAATTACCACATATTCGATATTTTGACGATTGCAAAGAAACTATTAGAAACCATCTGAAAGAAGGAGCAGCGTTATGGTATGAAAGCAAAGAAGATGAGTTTGAAAATTGGACAGATTTCGAGAATAAATTTCTCAACTATTTCTGGGGGAAAAATAAACAGAGAGAAATCAATCAAGAGCTACAGAATGGAAAATATCACGAAAAAATTGGAATATCTGAAGAACGATATGCTTTGCAGATATATAACAACTCAAAATACCTGGAATACAGATATTCTACCGAACAGCTGGTAGAAATGATCAGCAGACATTTTGAGGAAACGTTGGAAGATCACGTGATTTTGAGAAACTATCAAGATATTGATAGTTTGTGCCAATTCCTGCAATTAAAAGAAGCGAAAAGAAGAGAAATGAGAAACAGAAGACAACATGACCAATATAATGGACCGGAAAGAAGGTATCCATCAAATTATGACCAGAGAAACCGACATCCCAGATCAACAAACGAATATAGGCCGAGAAATTACAATAATTACAATAGACAACAAAATTACGATAACAGGAATGACACACAACATAGAACATATGAAAATCACAACAGGAATAGAGATGCACAAAATATATATAAATATGTATGCACACAAAAAAGGAAACAATCGTAAACATTTTTAACTTATTGTAATCTAAAAAAAGTTGGGAACGTTTCTTTAGAGAAGCAACCAAGGCATTTTAAGGTACGACTAAAGAAATAGCCGTATGTGGAAAAAGAGTAAAAAAACATTAATGATATACTCATTAACCTACTGTTATAGATGTCATGTATTAAAATTCCAAATTTAAGGAAATCACTGTCTTTGCTATCAGCTTTTTTGCGACACCATGTATAGTTACACTCAAGTAAGAGTAAAGAGTATCAGTAAAAGATATGACCGCAACCGTGGTGTAATTTGTGTCTTTCTTTCGCTTTCATCCGCACCAGGAATTATAGCGCTTGTCACGGCTGTTCATTTGTAGATGGAGTTTTTATTCCCATGAGAAAATCCCCAATCACGAGCCGAGAAAATTGCTTATTTCTGCAACCAGTACTTTCGTGCATAGTGCCGAATCTAGTAGGATGCTTTTGTGTAAGTCGCGATGTCAAGAAAATATGAAAATTAATTTTTATGAATTTTAAATAGATTTTTGTAACAAATTAGTGCTAATCTTATTTCATGATTTTATTGAAGGTAAACTAAATGCACGATAAAATACATACCATGTAGGGATAGTATTGTGAGGTTTTTTTTTCCTGGTTTTTCCCTCATAATTTACTATGGAATCACTAACAGGAGAATTTTACTGTCATCATAGCATGTGTTTGTCTTTTTAAAGACGAATTACATGCTATGATTTTTTCTGACGGATATTCTCAAGTTAAAGTTCTTCTTCTTCTTCTTCTTTTTTATAAGCAAAATGCTTGTTCAATGTCGATTAATGCCTCTATTGGAGGTTATCACTCCATCTTTTGCGTGGTCGCCCGATATTTCTTCTACCTTTTGGTGATTTGGTGATGGGACAAATCACCAAGTTAAAGTTGATTTCATGTAATCGAATGGACTATCTTATAAGTAAAGTCGTCCAGTAGCGCAA